TTGCTTTCTTTCCCATGGGGAAAAAATACAAGGATCTCATATATCATTTCTCCCGTAAGTGGAAAAGGATGCTTGAGGAAAGAGAGTTCGACTCGGAAAGTGCCCAGAGGCAAAAGTGTTAAATAGCACTTCTCCTGCTGTCCTTCTTTTCCCCTGATTTACAGCTAAAGATGGGTGAATTTGTCAGTTTTGTTTTCTGTCAGTTTCTCCCCCCCCCCCCCAGAAACTCCCTTCAGGTCTTTGCTACAGACACACACAGGTAACAGAAGCAGGTGGGTTGTCCAATGTACAGTACAGGAGCTGGTGGAGCTGCTGTGTGTGTGTGTGTGTGTGTGCATGCATGGATGCATGGATACATGGATGTATGGATGCATGCCTGGCATTCATGCATGTTTAGCATCCCACCCCCAATCAGGCTGAATACCCAAACAGCACTATTGTCCTCTGTTTGTGGCCTTCCAGTTTGAAGCCCAGGGCAGTGCAATCCCTTGCCACCTCCAAAGCTTTCTGATATTTTAGGCCATGACCCTGTGCAAATTAAAGGAAGTTCCACTGAGCAACATTTGACCTGCACCTGCAATAGCCCAGACTACGCTCTCATTGTGAAATCTCTGTTTCTGCCTTCCATCACTGACAACCATATTCCTATAAAAGGCAGCGGACAAATAAAATATCTCTGTACCCCGTGGGTAGCCGTGATCCATTATTTTAACTGTAAGGGCATGAAGGAGTCATAATTCAAGAGAAGCAGAGGGCAAGCTGGGTAGGTTTTCTTAGATAATTGAAATTGACCCATAATTCACCGGTAGCCATGGGAGATGTTGCTCCTCGCGTAACTCTTCATAACACCGTTCGGCATGAACTGATTTTCAAACACACACACACACAAAATCCCATCTGTGAAAAGATCACATTTAATTTTTTTGGACAGGCATTGCTTGCTATGCATAACGGGTCAAAACAAAATAAAAAATATGTCTGAAAGAAAAATAAATATGGCTGAAAGAAAAATAAAGACAGAAGAGGCTGCTGGATCAGGACAATGGCCAATCTAGACCAGTATCCTGTTCTCACAGTGGCTAACCAGATGCCTGTGAGAATCCCACAAGCACCTGAGGACAAACCTACTCTCCCTTCCTGTGGCTTTTAGCCTCCAACTATGGAGGCAGAACATACCCATCATGGGTGGTAGCCACTAATAGCCTTTGAACAATCCCTTTTAAACCCACCCTTTGGTGGTCCAACAGTCAATCTCTCTTCCCAAGGAACTCTGGGACTTGCAACTCTGTGAGGGGACGAGAGGTCTTCTCAACACACTTGAACTACAGTTCCTGAGATTCTCTGTGGGGAGCCATGACTGATTAAAGTGGTACAATACTGCTTAAAACGTATTGTTCCTTCCTGTGATATTTTTTTTCTTGGCACACCTGTGGTTTAGGGTTAACATTTGAACTAGCTACCTCAACTTTTATGCCAGAACATACATAATTTCAAGATGCTTGTTCAGACATTTCATCCCCTTCACACCAACATGGCAACACCTGAAAGTTTCTTCAAAACCAAAGAATTGCCCGCAGAACAGCTCAGAATGCAACTGTGGTGTTCATATGGAGGTGGTTGCAAAATTCAACCAGTTCAAAGATTGAAGATGGGCAAGTGATGGAGTCATCAGGAGGAAGGTTGTCAAAAATTGCCTTTCAGTTGGAATAATTAAACAAGAGCAATTGAGGAGTCTCAAAACAGCAAATTTAATTTAAATGGGTCCATTGTTAGCTACTCTAATGATTCTCTTTCTTCCAGAATTCATTACTTTCTTTCTTTCCTTAAAACCACAGAAGGCAAAAACAGAAGCGCTTTGGTAAAGAGTTTTTACCCTTTATTAGTCTTTCCTACAATATCTCATCAAAATCAATGGAGACAACACCGCATTGTTTGAGGTTATTGCTATTTAAACACTAAGAACCAGAGAACGTTGTTTCTCTATTACAAGGAGGGGTGCATAGAGTCTCATGGAAGGAGACTGACTAACGCACCTTAAGACATAATAACTATAACCTGTTTATTGGAGAAGACAGGCAGTTTGCTTTCTAATAAGGGGATTTACTGAAATAGAAGTCATAATTCCCAAATTTCCATAGCTAGAATTGTACTAAGCACAGTTAAAAACAATTTTCAAGATGAATACCTTAAGGCCAAATTAGACTTTATATGCAAGGTGTGTGTGTGAGAGAGAGACACTTTCAATTATTTTTATTTTTAAAAATAATAATAATCTGGCTTGAGAGATTGCAAGCAACAGCAGAAATGTTACTTAACCGTTTCACCACACATTTTTCTCAATCAAAATCCACACAAACACACAGAGAGAGACAGAGACTTTTATTCCTGCTATGAAATATTTTCACCCATGGAGGGTGAAAACAGCCTGAAAGAGTTGGGTTTGATCAGCAGCCGAAATGAAATCCTTTGCAGAAATAACAGCTCCTATCACCACACACACATAACACAGATTCATTGTACATAACGCTGAACTACTCTGGTGTTTTAGACTACACCTCCCATCAGTTTCAGCCAGCTTCCCTAGGTTGGAGGAATTTTGCACTATACGAACAAGCCGGGGGGGGAGCATTTGGCTCAGGCACTGCCCCCCTCAAGTCTCCCAAATGACTAGGAAGAGGACTTTGGCAGAGTTTTGCTTCACTTTTAACTGAATGCTGTTACATATGATTGTATTCAATGTAGTGCTATGGCTGAAATTCCCTATGTTCTCCTCCCCCTAGAACCCTCTAAATCTGTTCTAAGGGTTCCCCCAACCCTCTGGATCGGATTTGTAGATGGCCTAGGGATACTTGGGAGGAAGGAAGTTCCATTGCACTAGTGGTAGTCCTTGGGTGCATCATTTTGTTGAATACCCACTTCCCCGGGCCTTTGATGGTTGAAAGTTCTGTCCTTGGCAACCTTGAAATTATTAGTTTGAGAGTAGTTGGCTGCTTTTAGGAGCTTTAAACAGATTTTTAGAAGGTTGTTTTAAACAATTTTTTATAACTTAACTGAGGTGCGGGATATGATGTGCTAGGATGGCACAGTACCTTCTACACATTACATGTGAAGGAGGGAGAGCCTTCTCTGTTGTGGCACCCTGGCAATGGAACACCTTCCCTGCAGAGTACAACCGGGGGAGACTTTTGCTATCTTTTTTGTTTGCCTTGGTGGATTAGTCGTTTAGTTGTTAGATAGATAAAACTTTATTCGCATTAGCCAATGGCCATAGCAACAGTGAAACATTACAGTATATGCAGAAAAGGAAATCTGATATAAGAGCACCATTTAAAGTCCTGAATCAGCTGTCAGTTAGCGGCCCTTATTCTGATTGCCCCTGCTTATGAATCTAGCAACCTTTGCTGTTATCTGCTCATTTTGATCTGATAGAAGAAAGGACATTGTGGCAGTGGTTGAGCGCCCTGGGATGGTTAGTACGAGTGGGGTGATGATCTCGTTCCTCAGGTCTTTGTAGAGAGTACAAGACAGGAGGACGTGTGCCACTGTTTCGGTGCTACCATCTCCACAGGGGCAAAGATGTTTCTCAGGCGGGATATTTTGGAATCGACCCTCAAGTACCGCAGATGGCAAAACAGCCAGTCTTGCAAGTGTAAAAGCACGTCTGTATTTTGGGATAATAAGTTTGTGCAGATATGGGGCCAGAGAATCAAAATGGAGAGGTGGAAAATGAACATACCAAGGGCAGAATTTCCTTACAGTGGCCAGGTTGTTCTGATGATCGATATCTTTTAGACGTTGACCAATTAGACTGTTTGCTTTAGTAGCGCCCATAGTGAGTAGGTGTTGTGGGGATAGGCCACAAGAGTGAAGTTTTTGATAGATGGTTTTAAGCCAGGCACTTTTATGGGAGTCTTGAAGTACTAGGGATAGTAAACCAGGGAGATTTGAGTTTAGGCGGAGCCAGTTCTTTGCCAAGTCCATACTTCTACTGAAGGGAGACTGTCATTTAGCTGTATGTCCCACAAACTGCAGTGGAATGAACAACAAAACAGTGCAGTACAGAAAATGATGCCTTCTTATTCCCTGCCCAAGAGGGAACATAGCTGGCAAAGCAGATGTCACTGACAGAAAGTTTTTCTGGGCGCGGGACTAAAACCAGACTATAGAAGGGAGTGGGGGTTATTGGTTTGTTTTGGTCTTGTTCTTATTAAGTGTTTTGTGTTTTCATCTTGTATTTCTGTGCTGTGAACTGCCCTGAGATCTATGGATGATGGGAGATATACCAATTTAATACCTAATTAAGAATAAGAATAAGAACCTAGGCTGCATTTCTGATCTACAGAGATTGTAATCCCACCCCTTTCAGGTAAACCTTGCTTCAAAAGCTGCCAAAGACCATTAGATTTCTAATAAAAACCCAACTGGAGGTGCAAAACCAGATAAAGGCCTATGGAAATCAGCAAAATTTTGAGGCATCTCTAAAGTTACTTTTTTTCTGAAGCAAACCCATTACCTTCCAAAAAGCACAGTGAAAATGATCATCCTCAACACTTTTGCTGCAGGGTCACCTAATCAAATATTACTTATCCTTCCCTGCATGAATTTTCCACACAAAGTGTCTTTTTCAGGGGGGACAATAATGAAAAATGAATCGTATTTCATAAAGATGTGGGGAGAAAATAATTATCCGATCAGTGGAGCTAAGCGGTTTAGATCCAATTCTAATCATTAAGATGATGAACATCCCAAAGGCAGCCTTCTCTTCACCTCTGTGGCAGGAGAAAAGTAATTATTAGATGGAAGGGCGTTTTTCAAAAGATTAGAAAGAGAAGCAGTTAGGAATGGAAACGCAATGCTGCTTATCAATTTGCAAGTTCTCTTGTAGGTGCAATGTGTCGTGTGGCACACAGGCGGAAGGCCACACAGCCCATACATGCCAGGCAGCCATTTCGCGAAAATTCAATCTGCAATAAACCTTTGCAATAAAAAGCAAAACTAACCTCCACATTCCGGAAAAACTGTACATGGTGCTCACACAGCGTGGCAAGTCGGGAGACTTCAGCCCATCCAGTCGGATAACAAGTGCAGGAACACCGAAAAGGACGAGGTATTTCACATAAAAGAAGAGGACCTGAGCCAATGCCAGCCCACCTGAGAAGAATGCAAGGCGAGAATATTCAAGTCATTATTTTAATATTCATCGTCCTTCCCTCTCCCCGTAAATAAGGTCAGTCTTTCATACTGTCCAAATATACATCATTAAGGTGGTCAGTGTCTATTATCTCTTTCTGCCTCAATCAGTTGCGGGTGTGCATGCTCCTGGGGTTGGCCTAGTTGACACTCTTGAGTCCCTTCCAACTCTACAATTCCATGATTCTGATGCATGGAACATGTACACCAACTGTGCCTATTAAACAGGTCAAAGCAAAACTTTTCCTTTGGCACTCCTTTCTTGTGACTTGAAGCCATTGGTTCAAGTCATAGCCTCCGGAGCAGGAGATAACAAGCTTGCTCCATCTTCCATGTGGCAGCCTTGTAGATATTTGAAGATGGCTGCCATATCTCTTCTGATTTTCTTAATAATAATAATAATAATAATAATTTATTATTTATACCCCGCCCTTCTGGCTGCGTTTCCCCAGCCACCCCAACAAAGTATTAAAATACAGTAAAAATCCATCAGTAAAATCCACCAAACATTAAAAACTTCCCTAAACAGGGCTGCCTTCAGATGTCTTCTAAAACTCTGGTAGTTGTTGTTCTCTTTGACATCTGGTGGGAGGGCGTTCCACAGGGTGGGTGCCACCATCAAGAAGGCCCTCTGCCTGGTTCCCTGTAACTTGGCTTCTCGCAGTGAGGGAACCACCAGAAGGCCCTCAGCGCTGGACCTCAGTGTCTGGGCTGAACGATGGGGGTGGAGACGCTCCTTCAGATATACTGGACTGAGGCCGTTTAGGGCTTTAAAGGTCAGCACCAACACTTTGAATTGTGCTCGGAAATGTACTGGGAGCCAATGTAGGTCTTTCAAGGCCGGTGTTATGTGGTGTTATGTGTTATGTTCCCCGTCACCAGTCTAGCTGCTGCATTCTGGATTAGTTGTAGTTTCCGGGTCACCTTTGATCATCTTGTGTGCAGTTGTATGCAGTGATGTTGTCCCATTCAAGCAAGGAAGTCTGCTTGCACAACAGAACTTCCCTTCCCTCTCCTCTACACTATGCCTCCCAAATAGATACTGTTATGTACTGAAGTTCTCACCCTGGGCCAGCAGGGGGATACTGTAGATAGTTTTCACTCAGGTCCACGTCAGTTATTTTAGGCGGGAAACCCTGGGTTGTTGTTGCTACAATGTTGACAGCTGGCTACCTATAAAAGCAGGCCGGCTGAGCTGTTTGCTGTTCAGTTTCTGTTCCAGCTTACAAAATAAAGAGCTGCTTTGGAGAAATCGCTGTGTCGGCTTCCATGTCTACCCACTATTCTACAGATACCTTCCAGATCAAATAGGACAGGAGAGAGGAAAGGGGCCAGGGAGTTCCATTGTACAAGCAGGAGCTCTTGTGCAAATAGGACAAACTTCGTTGGATACAATCCAATGTTTTCAGAACTCTGTCTTAAGGATTCCATCATTTTCTGGATGGATGTTCCAGCCCTTCGTGATTCCGCAGCTAAACCACTCCCTGATCTCTTGAAGGACTGTTTCAGGAAAGCTAAGTGTGGAACAGAACAAACTATTTTGGTGACTCTGATCACAAGCCCAACCTGGGTGGAATCTACACACATATAAAAAATGTTGTAAAAATGCTTTAATATATATATATATATATATATATATATATATATATATATATGCAGGTTTTGGTGTCCTCGGGTGTCTTCCCGTGTAAAAGTTGGGGTGTCTAGGCGACGTTTCGACGAGGTCTCACTCGTCATCTTCAGGCTGGTGCTTTCGGCTTCTTGTTACTGGAACAGAGCAGGATCTCAGTGTTTGAGTTCCTATAAATACTGTTGAGGGGGTGTGGTGTATAGCCTCCAATGTTCTGGGCAGAGAGGAAGTTCCCAGGCTAGTGTGCCTTTTCTTCTTTTGTTCCTTAATATCTTGAGTGATTTCTTGAGTGATATTCTGAGTACCACTTAGGTGGGTCATTAGGTGTGGATTAATTGCTAAAGCCTTCGTGTCTTGACCTCTTGAACTTTGTGAAGAGTTTTTTCTGAGAAGATGGCTGTACTGCACTTAGTTGTGCTCTGGCTTGGCTTCGTGTATAGGGGCGAGCTGTGGTTTTGTGTCCTGTGCCAGCCAGATCTGTGTAGGGATTGCAGGGGGGTGCAGCATCCGGAGGTGCCACCATGGTTTGGCTACTGGATGGTGTCTGTAATTTATCTGTGGAGAGGGTCTGGGTTTGGGTCTGGTGTGGTTGATTGGTGATGGCGTTCTGTGTGCCTCTGGATCTGGTGTCGGTTTTTGTGGGGAGGGCTAATTTCCAGATGTCTGGCAGGCGGGATGTGTCGTCACGCTTGTTCATGTTGTGAGGGTGTTTCTCTATCTCGATGGCTTCCATGATTATTCTCTTGTGGAGATGTTCCATGTTAAAGAGCAATTTGGAATCTGCAAAATTAATTTCGTGTCCTGTTTCTTTCATGTGTTGGAAAAGAGAGGAAGTTTTTTCTTCTTTTTTGACGGCATTCTTGTGTTCTGCGATACGTGCATTTATTCGTCTGTTTGTTTGTCCAATGTACGTGTTTATAGGAACTCAAACACTGAGATCCTGCTCTGTTCCAGTAACAAGAAGCCGAAAGCACCAGCCTGAAGATGACGAGTGAGACCTCGTCGAAACGTCGCCTAGACACCCCAACTTTTACACGGGAAGACACCCGAGGACACCAAAACCTGCATTCCTGTACCCGTGAAAATCTACGAAAGCATATATATATATATATATATATATATATATATATATTGAATTTGCCATAGCTCACCATCGCCATCTAGTGTCACATTTGTATAATGCACTTTAAAAAGGGACCCCTGACCATAATGCACTTTACAACACACTTAAAACGTTTATTTGCAGCTGTACAGCTGAGTCCCCAGTGGCCACAGTGCTAAACATGGATCTTAAGATGATTTTGTCAAGAATCAGCTGGAAAGCAAAATTTCTTCATTAGCATAACTGGCAGTCATCTCTGGACCTGCAGTAAGCCACCCAGGACAGGATCCCTGACACATTCCCACATAGAAAGATTGATTGCAACCACACTGGAGTCTGATTAATATAAAGCAATGTTCCCTTTTCAAGCCGTGTTCTTCAAGGAGTAAAACATGCACCTGAAATCTCAGGTGCATCTCATATATACACATAGAGCATCAATATGTTAAAACCTCTTCCTTCACTCATTCTAGTTTATGAACCACAGCAGGTGTAAGAAAACATCAGAAATGTCACACTTCCTTCCAGAATCTCAGCTGGGACCTCCAGGTTTGGATTGGTATAATAAGCAAATATTGATTTTCAGCTCAGCGGAAATCAAGACCTATTGATCCGGGAGATAAATATTTACCCTCAAAGGGCTATAAATCTTCATGTGCCCTAAATATAAAGTCAATAGCTGGTGTGTTCAGTGTTATTACAGACATTGCTCTACTTGTCCGCCCAGAATTCTCTTGGTCTTTTATAGCATGTGTTCCAAAAAATGTGCTTTAAGCTGCCCACACCCCACCACCCTAGAAAAAAGAACCAAGGTAACAGCCTGCCAACTGGCTTTCATTTTGTGGAAATTTCTGAGCTCCTAAAGACAACCTTCCCAACATTCAGTTCTGAACATTTGCTTTTCTGTGAATTCCTACAATTCCCAGAGCAGTTTAAAAACTAGTTCTTCTTCCCAGGGAACTCTGGAGACTGTACCTCTGTGAGGGAAATGGAGGGGGGTGTCTTCTGGCAAACTACAGCTCCCAGGATCCCTTGTGACTGTTTAAAGGGGTATCATAGTATTTGTTGGTTTTGAAAAGTATCACACAGTTAGAAATATTTTAGCGTGCAATCCTAAGCATACACACTCACTGACCTTAGTGAGCTTTACTTGCGGAATGGTGGTAGCCTAGTGGTACCTGCTTAGCATGGAAATGATTCCAGATTCTCCAGTAGGGGGTGGGAATGTCCCCAGTCTGAGACACTGGAGAGTCACTGCCAGCCAGCGTTGACAGTACTAAATTTGATGTGCCAACGGTCTGACTTCGCATACGCCAGCTTCCCACGTCCTTCACCACTGAGGCTTCTGCTTGAACGTTGACACCCATGAAGGCCGCCAAAAAGAAGCGGGAAATTGTGACTCTTAACTCTGCACACTTTGCCTCACACAAAATATTGCTGTAGTGGTTGCTGGGCAACACCACTCACTACAGGAGACAGGAACTGCAGGCTTGCTTTTTCAGCAATGGTGGTGGCTAAGCCAAATAGTCAAGTCACCAACCCACCACCACCACCGCTGTCTCCTGAGGGAAAGGCCAGAAGGAAGACGCACAGTTGGATGCTCCTTCCCAAAGATGCAGAGTGCACCCAAGTAGTGATAGCCAATCCTTCTCCCTTACCCACCTCTCCTGCTCTGGAATAGGAAAGGGCAGCATGGCTAAGGGTCTTGGGGTGCTTTTTCCACTCTGCTATCAAAGAATCCATAGAATCATAGAGTTGGAATAGACCACAAGGGCCATCGAGTCCAACCCCCTGCCAAGCAGGAAACACTATCAGAGCACTCCTGACATATGGTTGTCAAGCCTCTGCTTAAAGACCTCCAAGGAAGGAGACTCCACCACATTCCTTGGCAGCAAATTCCACTGTCGAACAGCTCTTACTGTCAGGAAGTTCTTCCTAATGTTTAGGTGGAATCTTCTTTCTTGTAGTTTGGATCCATTGCTCCGTGTCCGCTTCTCTGGAGCAGCAGAAAACAACCTTTCTCCCTCCTCTATATGACATCCTTTTATATATTTGAACATGGCTATCATATCACCCCTTAACCTCCTCTTCTCCAGGCTAAACATGCCCAGCTCCCTTAGCCGTTCCTCATAAGGCATCATTTCCAGGCCTTTGACCATTTTGGTTGCCCTCCTCTGGACACGTTCCAGTTTGTCAGTGTCCTTCTTGAACTGTGGTGCCCAGAACTGG